CCATTGATTCATATAGGTGGTATTTCTTAGCGGATGGATCTTCACGTCAAATGTGGATGGCTTTCGATCTCTTTGAAACTGGACAATATGGTACGGGGATCGGTAAAAGATGTAGCTACATTTGGTGGGTTTTAAATCCCTGCCCGTGCACTGACAGGTTTTGCACCAGTAAGAGCAGTGGAATCAAAATGGAGGCAGTGACGCGGTGCACATGCCTCCATTGCAGCAAGCTATGTAATTTTCACCCGCAGAACGAGAAACCGTGGAGAACAAAATCGGGTTAAAACCAAAGAGGGAATAGACAGCTAAAGAAACACCCTTTTGAATCATAAATTTTTTTGAAAAAGCGCATTGCCTTCTTCCTTAAATAAAGTAGAGAGGTGATGAGGATTCAAAAGGGAAGAGGCCTCAGAAAGGACTTGCAACTTTGCGTACAAAAATAATAAAAATAAATAAAAATAAAAAATAAATAAGAATAAATAAAAAAAGGAAGAAAGAAAGGTATAAAAACAATGAGAGTGTGATAAGCGAGCAGGATTCGCATCTTTGTATTGAAGGGTTGGTGTTTATATAGGGAAGGGAGCAAGTGTTGTGGCTTTGCCTTTGTTTTATGCAAAGCTTGCGGAATATATGGATGTGTGGGTTTTGATCATCTTGATCTCGAGATTTATGGATGTTAATATCCGGGGGTGTGAGTTTTACGTATAAAAAAAAATTAAAAAAAAATAAATAAATAAGTAAAAGTTGGGCAAATCACTAGGTATTTGAACCCTTACCGGTGGGATTTGGGCCTTTACTTTTGGGTGAGAATTGAGTCAAAGATCTCATCTACCACCAAGGCCACAAGTCATTCTCATTATTTCATACAAATAAGAATGTCCATATGGGTTTTCATAAAGAAGCCCCTTTGGTTTTTCTCTTAGCTCATGCTTATAATAATTGAGGACTTGACCCCAATGCCCTCGATCCTTCGAAAAACTTATGAAATTAGACACCATTTAGTCCAGTTGACTAAATTATCTCCAAAAATAAAATTTATTTCCATTTTTATAGATAACACAATTTTCTTAGGGAAATTTTATTTGAATATTTGTAGCTAATATTATTTATACAGGTCATTTTAACAGGTGCCGTTTGCATAAAGGGTCAACTTTAATCAAAGTAAGGTGAGCCGCTAAATCTCTAAATTGTGCAGGAACATGTAGCTCTGGAGATGAAAAGCATTGTAGCAGTCGAAAAATCTATTCGTAACATTTTTAATGAAATTTAAATCTCTAAAAGAGATACAAGTCCCAAAACTATTATGATGGTTTAAATATCCATCTCTACTTCTAATTATTAAATTTAAGGTTTTAAAAAGATGCAGATTAAACAGATCTATAAACACTTGAAAAACTAAAAAATTGACAGTACAAAGAATTTGTTACAAAACAAACCACTTTCAGGACTAAAATTTTTTTTATTTTTTTTCACATCCACAAATCTCGAGGATGAGATGATCAAACTGAGATATATAATGGGAAAGCAAGACGCGTTGGAGGACATTCCCATTTGCTAAACGTGTGCATGGTGGGGTTGGGTTTCACATGAATACTATTTATCTTTCTTTAATTATTGTTGTCCTTCATGATCTACTTAGTGTAGAGAGAGAGAGAGTTTTGGTACATGGACCACGGTTTGCATCAAAGTTGCGATTTAAAATAAAAGTTTATATGCTCTGGCGGGAGCATAAACGGATTTTTGGATATCTAAGGTATACTTCTAGTGGAGTATTATAGGAGTGTTTGAAAAGAACTATCAATTTAGATTGGGAACTGCAGATCCAAATGAGAATGGGCTAGGGGTCATGGTGCTAACATCACTTGTATCCCAACTTAGGTCAAAGCTTTGATTCTCACATAACGCATTAAAAAACAACTAATGATTTTAAAATTGGGTAGGAGCTCGTCATCCCCACTAAATTATCAAAATAAATAAATTTGGTGATCCAAATCATTGATTGATAGTTGGAATCAACGATTCAATCAATATAGACACATATAGACACCCACACATAAACAAAACCCTCCTCCTCACCCACAACAAATTAATAATAATAATGTTATTGTATAAGGAAATATATATGCACGTAAGTACTCCCCAAAGAAACGTAATTTTTATTATACAAGTTATTTTTGTGTAAGGAACTCACAATCATTATCGATAATTAAATGTAAATCCGGGTGACTATGGAGGTGTCATTCACTAGACAAAATTCAAAATAAAATTTCTTGAACAATGTCATATACTTTAAGTTGTTCGATTCCATATTTGATGCTAAATTTGATTGTGATCTTGTTGTACCAAAAATGAATAGACTTGTAGTATACAATCTCATTATATAAAAGTTAAACTTTCTATGCTTGCCTGTCTATAGTATAAAACTTCTACACTTCCCCCTATCCAACTGTCCATTCTAAACGGACAGCTTAGATGACCCAATCACAATGTCACCCACTATACCATTTTATTTGTAATTTTTTTTATACAAAACATTTTTGACAGAAATATTTGGGTCTATCTTCTATTGAACTCGCACCTATAAAAATATCAAAAAATATTTCCAATAAAAAAAATAACTGAAATACCCCAAAAAGATTGAGGGGCATTTTTATCATTGTATTTTATCGACAATATTTCTTAATATTTTATTTAGGTTGGCCCCATTGAGGTGATGACATATACCAAATTTCATAGGTATATAGTCAGTAGAAAAAAATTAAAAAAAAAAATACTCCGAGGCTGCGAATCTAGATTAAATGGTTGGTGGCTCACTTGATCTAAACTGAACTGCTGGATGAAGGGAGAAGTATATATCTTTTATGCTATACGGGAAGCATAAAAACCTTTTCCTTATATAGAGCCCTCAAAGAAAAACAATGTTATCAAAAACAAAAGAAATACTTATCAATCCTTCATCTTTTTTAATTTTCTTTTGCTTGATTTAGATCATTAATCAGGTCGATCTGATTCGAAATTGGTCGATTGCAATCCACCCTACAGATCTATACTTTCAAATGTAGAAACGAAAGCAATCAACAAAAAACAAGAAAGAATAAACAAACATAAGAAAAGATACAATCAACCACAACGCAAAGATATACGTGGTTTGACAACGTGCTTACTTCAACGGAAGAATAGAACTTCTTTACTGGCAATGGAGAATAGGGTTACAATTCGCTCTCTTCCTCACGCCTCTCTGTTTTTTATTTAATTACAAAGAGATCTGCATTTTCCCCTTAACCCTTAACTTTTGATGAACCCCCAATTGCAACGATATATATCGAATCCCATGCACGGATATATTCGAATTTATCCTCGGGGGCTGCCGCCCCCGAACCCTTGTAAGGGCCAAATCCATCAAGTCAACCTGTCAAGACAATTCCTTCGGGCCTCAAGCCATACGGACCTTCGGGCTTTTAACGACCCTTCGGAATCGTGTTTTTTACTCTACCTTGACAGATCTATTTCCTCAAAATACAAGACATCAATCATCAACATCAAACACTTATTTATAGGATCTGAATTTTTGGAATTTAACATCCTTTAATAGAAAATGATGTCTTAATATTCAAGAAAAAGGATTTAGTTAAAGAAAATATGTTGTAAGTCCTTAGCAACTCTAAACTCAACTTTTGTAAAAAATAGCAATACAATAACTAAAAAATCAATCTATTTTTATAGCAAATTCTCGTGCGAAATTTTAAACTGAAGCCCAAAATTCTCTTGTTCAAAAGATTCGCTTTAAGTATCTATTTTTCTTGTAAGAGTAAGTGTACAATTTGCTCCCTTGAAGATCGGCAGACAGATTGTGGGGTGCACTCTAGTGGATGTGAACGTGCATTCATGCCCGCATGTTAATTGTGCCAAGCTGGGCATGTGTAGATTAAAGGACACAACTGTGTTGATGCATTTGACATTTTTCTCTCAATTATTTTATGGTCCCATCTTAGCCAAGATGGTTGGCTTTTAAATAATGGAAGAAATCATTGGCTCCACCAAAAATGGGGTATCCCCTTCGTGATCTGTTAAATTGCATATACTCTTAATAAGGGAAAGGTTTAAGATAAAGAACCAACTGATCACTGCCCTTGTATTTTGTCAAGAAAACCAAAACTTTACAATAGACATGCAAACAAATACCATAAATGACTCTTCCCCACAAATCACACATAAATTGTGTCACAAAGACAAGTGAGGATTTACAATCTTAATTTTTTTGTTGGGATTATATACCATGACTATTCGTCCATTTATTTAGATGGATTTTATTATCAGATTGTATACTACGATACGGTTTATCTTTTTTTCATAAAGATCAAAATTACTACTAGCCATTAGATGTCAAATTGGATAGCATGGAGTGTCACAAAGTTAGAAGATTATTATTATTATTATTATTTCCAACTTTGAGTCTAGTTAATAATACACTCGCAAGTTATTACTACCCCATTTGAAATATGGCCGATAAAAATGATTGTGACCTGTTAAGATAAATAGTCTCTTTGTATATTTTCATTTATTTATACTGGTGGATTGCCATTCATATCAGATTTAGATGGTTTTCAATTCCAATAAACCAGACGGCTGATCCGGACAACGCGGTGGGAAACGTTCGAAGGAATCCAAGCATTGACATTGTGTCCTTTTCGAATCCCCTCCAGTGCACGAACAAGTTTTACACCAGTAAGGGCAGCATTCCCACATATCAGCACAAAAGCAGAGTGGAGGACTTGACAGATTGCACCAAGATGAACGGCAGCATGTGCATGTGACACCTGCAAGAAGAGAACATATGGAGAATGAGAAATAGGTATAAAACTAAGAGATTGTATACAATGAAACCATTTACTTTTGGTACAAGGAGGTTACAATTATTTATAACCATCCGATGTGAAATCTGATAGCTTGAGTGGGCCACAAAGTTTGAAAAAAGTTATTTTGAACTTTGACCTTGGCAAATAAAATAAATGCAGCCAACAAATTTCACATCCAATAATCAAGATTAATTGTGACCATCTTGTACTAACGGTAAATGGTCTCATTATATACTTTCCCTAAAAGAGGGAATAGAGAGCTAAAAGAAATACACTTGGAATCAAAATGTTTCTTTAAACGAGGACCAGAATGGAGGATCGAAGAACATCCAAAGAGAGAGGACCGGATTTATTTTAAGCGAAAGGTCTTCTTCACATGGTACAGTAAAGATGAGATGAAGATTCAAAGGGAAAGAGGACCTATTTAGTTTTAAGCACTAAGCCTTCTTCATCAGATGAAACAATAAGAACTTAGAATGAGGTTGAGGTCGTGGTGGTAGCACTACTTGAACCTCAGTTACCGGTCTAGGTTATCATTCCCACTAACGCATTCGAAAACCGCTAAATTATTTGTAAAAATGGGTAGGGGCCTATATTCCCCACTGATCTACCCAAAAAAAAAAAAGTAAGAACTAGTGTTGGAAAACACGACACGCTGAACATAGCCATGGGCCGAGTCCGAGTAGCGAAGTAACTCGTGCTGAGTTCCGATTTACTTGGCCCAAAAAATAAAATAAATAAATAAATAATATAAAAATATATTTCAAGTTAAAAATAGATGTTGAAAAAATGATGGTGGTATTTTAAAAATAATGAAAAAAACAAGAAAAAAAATATAAAAAAAGGAATTCATAGCCAGAAGATTTTTCAATCTTAGCCATAATGATAGAAAATATAAAATAAAAAAAATTAAATAATTTTATATATATATTTAGTTATTTTGTTTTCCAACTAATCAGGATATTCAGCCCCGCTAGGGGTTCCAAGCCCGAGTTACTCAGGCGCGTTCAGGTTGGCTTGCCCGAGTAGTTGAACACTGTAAGAACTATTCATGTCTCCTTCGGCTTTCGCACAGTGATAGACATATTAATTTGAGTCAGGGAGTTCAACCGTTTCAACCTTCAAGTTAGTCCTGAAAGGCCCATGCAGGCTACAAAGCCTTAACATTTTTCCTTTTTTTTATCTCAATATGTTTCGTCGGTGTATGGTACAATTCCCCAACAAACTAATATCATGAAAAGCATGGTGGGATTCAAACAATGTTTTTTTCTTGTTCAAAATTTTTTTTTTTTCCCTTAATGGTAGGGTGGGAGACCATATTTAGCAGAATAAATCAAACTTGAGCCATGTTGCTACAATCATCAATGAGTAGCTAATCAAGCCCAACCCTAATTATTAGTCAGGCCATTTTATTGACAATTGCAACACTAAATCATGTTTAAATCCCACAAATGTCTTACCAAAAAAACAACTAATCCATTCAAACTGAAACATTTTTAACCCTATTTTTGAGACAGTTAACAAAAGTTCGGCCCTAACACGAATTCACCAGGGTGCCGAGCTTGAGTCAGACTGTAGAATTTTGAATAAGATGAAAACTTGTGAAAAACCGAGAGACCCAAGCAATTCCAGGGTTTTTGCTATAGAATCTGTTCTGTCTAAGGCGAGTACTAAATTACTCAAGTGATTTCTAAAAACTGATTTGAAATACTAGGGGTTCTCATTTGCCAGAGGGTTTTTCTCATTATTTTCTATGTTCCTTTTCGCAAAATAGATTTTCTTTCCTTTCTTTTTTCTGGTGATGTAAAATACCTGGACCGGCCTCGGATTCCATGCCCGTCACCCCACATTCACAAACAGCTATCAACACAATCAACGTGAGAACCACTCGAAAAGCCTCCATCCTTTCCTTTCACAGTAATGCCATTCATTTTCTCTTTATTATTTTTGTCTCGGGTAGGTGATTTCGAAAGAGAAATTACATGGCAGAGTAAGAGAGAGAGACAGAGCTTAGATGGCACAAAACGTACATTTCAGTGGTCCATATTAATGGCTTGTGGTTGTGTATGCATAGAATGGGAACACAAGACCATGTACAGTTAGCATTTTTCTATCCATTATTTTGGTCTCATTCATGTCAATCAATACCATGTGGGTCTCATAACATGATTGTCCCTGGCGTTTCTTATCCACCCGAAAGATTATACAAAGGAAGTGTATATGCTGAAGGGAAAGGGTTCTATACTTCCTCAATAAAGGATAATACAAAGGTTTGGCAAAAATAAAAAAAAGAAAAATAGTGTCGGAAAATAAAATAACAAAAACATAAACATTTACGTAGCTCGACAAGTTGCCTATGTCTACGGGGCAGTAAGTGACATTTACTCAACCACTGTAGAAGACAACACCACCACAGACTGTAACTTTAATAACCAACTAACTGCACTACCTCCCGAAGAAAAAACATATTCGGTAGTAGACATTCTTTTATCCAAGTCACTTGTAAAGTCGGCATCGACATAACCAGTGACTTTCAAATTTATTCCACTATACCAAATACTAGCATCGCAAGTTCCCTTCAAATACCGAAGGATCCATTTCACAGTGGTCCAATGATCATGGCTAGGATTTTCCATATAACTGATCACAACTCCCATTGCTTGCACTATATCAGGTCTGGTGCTAACCATAACAAACACAAAGCTCCCTACTGCAGAAGAATATGGTACTCAAGACATCTAGGTCTTCCCTGCTTTGATGCTGGGATATTAATTCGAAGACAACCCACCATCCGGGAAGAGATCATCTCTACTTTATAGCTAAATCACTGTTCAGGAAGAGACCATCTCGATTCCATAGCTAAACCACTGTCCAAGAGGAGAACAATCAAAACTTTCTCTCTCTAAATAGGGAAATCACCCAAAATCTTCAAGGGAACGAGTCCTCTACAAGAAACCAGCATCTCAATCTACAGGAGACACATCAGCTGTGTTTCTCTCCATAAAAAGCTCTCTCTTCTCTAAGGGAGGCCAGTCGATGTTGAGGAGGCTCTGCCTCTTTCTTTAAAGGAAGCTACCTTTCTCATATGATGACCCAAATGGGGCACACAAATTCTCTGCTCTTTCATCATATTTATATAAGGTTAAGAGTTCACACCAAATAGGAAACTTCATATAGATATGGAAAATATCTCAATAGCCAAGAGATATATCCAAAGTCCTAATCCTTTTGGAAATCTATTTCCTTTAGGAAACTTATTAATATCAATCTCTATCCCACATAATATGGGATTTCCTTATGTAGGTGATTTTGGATAATCACCTTATCCAACAATCTCCACCTTGATATCAAAATCGCCTAATCACCATGCCAACTTCAAATGGATAGCTTTAAGAATTCATCTTCTTTTGCCAAATAAATTCTTTCACCAGTCTTGCTAGAAAGATTGTGCTTGCTATCATATGTCTCTACCATAATTAAAATGCTCGCATACTTTGCCATGTGTTTTTCTACAACCGAATGCATAAACACTAGCCTTGTACTGAACCATACGCTCTGATAGCACTCGTTGACGATAAAAACCAATGTTTGACAAAAATAAGAAAAAAAAAATAGTGCAAAAAAATAAAAGAACTGAAACACAAAGATTTACTTGGTTCGGTAAGTTGTCTACGTCCATGGAACAACAAAATTCTCTTCCACCAATCAGAAAAACACTATGTATGCATGGAGAATACAAGGGATTGTAAGTTCTCTCTCAAACCCTAAAACATGGTCTTTCTCTCTCATTAACTCCCACCCAAGGACTAAAGAACTATCCCTCTTCTTTCTGGATTTTTCCTTGCATACATTTCATGTGTATTCTCTCTCTTTTCAAGACAACTTATATAAAAAGGAACCCAAAGTCCATCACGGGAGCCTCTATGTCATTCCTACATTCTAGGTTGGGAAAATGTCTCTCATTCCCAATAGAAGTCACGTGATGCCATTCCTTATTGTAATTAGATCTCCTATATCTATGGTTTCCATTGTATTGTACATCTCATGAAATTACCTCCCATAGAAGATTATGTTTGATCCCAATAATGTAGGAATACAAGATCAATTAGATCTCATTCACCATTAGAAGTACAAGGTTTTAGAATTTTTTCATTCGGATCATGAAAATCACATGTTGTTTCTTTGGGGGGTGCTACACATTTTGTCACTTTTATTTATGATTGTTCAAAAAAAAGTGTGGACTTATATGCTAAAAAAGAAATCAGATGCCTTCATTGTTTCCAAAAATTTAAGGCCTTGGTAGAAAATCAGAGAAGCAAGAGCATCAAGTGTCTAAAAATTGATAATGGGGAGCATTTTGTTCTGGTGAGTTTAATAATATTTATAATGAACATAGTATTGTTATGCAGTTGATAGTTCCTATAACCCCTTAGCAAATGGTATTGTTGAGAGAATGAATTGCTCCGACCAAAGTTTGGCAAAAAAAAAGGAAAGAAAAATAGTGCAAAAAATAAAAGAAAGAAAACACAAATATTTACGTGGTTCGGCAAATTGCCTACGTCCATGGGGCAGCAAAGTACTCTTCTACTAATCAGAAAAACACAATGCAAGTATGGAGAATACAAGTGATTACATGCTCTTGGACAATTTCATGTTCTTGGTCCTGACTACCATCTCACTAATTCTCATGGGTGCATTCCACCTCAACAGCTTTAGCATCTGGTTCATCTTTATTTTTCTACATAGAATTTTCATTGAAAATAATATCTCGGCTAACTATAACCTTGTGGTCGGGAGGATCCCACAATATGTACCCCTTTGTACCATCAACATAGCTATGTAAAACACAAATTCTTGGATTTTTCACCCAACTTCTTGGAATCAAAGAATATGCATCATAGCCAAAAACATGAATGAAAGAATAATCAACAGGTTTATCTTTCCAAACCTCTTTTAGTGTCTTGTAGTCAATAGCATAACTAGGAGACCTATTGATTAGGAAACAAGCAGTACGAACAACACTGCTCTAACCTAGCAGCACTAAACATACACCTAACACGTTCCATAATGGTCATATTCATCCTCTCGGAAACACCATTTTGCTGAGGTGTTCAAAGAACACTCAACTACCTAGCAATACGAGGCTCACTACAAAAATAATCAACTTCTCCATAACTTCTCCCTCATTATCAGTTCTTAGACATTTGATGCTCATGCTTTTTTGATTTTCTACCATTGACTTAAAGTTTAAGAAACAACTAAATGCATCTGATTTCTTTTTCAGCATATAAACCCACTCTTTTATTAAAAAATCATAAATAACAGTGACAAAATATGCAGTACCCCCTATAGAAATAATAGGTGATTCCCATGTGTCTGAATGAATCAATTCAAAAAAATTCATACTTCTAGCGGTGGATAAAGCAAATCACAATTTGTTCTGCTTTCCAAACAAGCATGACTCATAAAAATCTAAATTAAAAGATTTTAAACTAGGGATAAGGTTTTTATCAAGAAGTACCTTGAGTATGCGCTCACTCATATGACCCAAAAGTACGTGTCACATCATGATAGACTACACCTTTGCAATAGCGGTCTCTCCCAAAATTGTTTCACAAACAAGCCTGTGCAAATTGCTTGCTTACTCTCCTTTCGCAACTACTAGTGCTCATTTTGAAATTTTCAGACATCCTTTTTTACCTGTAAACTTAAAACTTTGCTCATCTAATTTCTCAAGGACAAGAGACTTCTTTTAAGACTCGGAACATGTCTGATACCTGGGATGGTGCAGATGTCTCCATTGAACATCTTGATTCTTACATCTCCAACTCCCACTATTTTACATGAGTCATTATTTCCCATGCAAACAGTAACTTCATTATATAGTTGGTACCTATAGAACCAATCCCTATGTGGAGTCATGTGAAGTGATGTACTTGAATCAAGTAGCAAATACTACAAAACTTTCTCCCTATCCACTGACAAAACTTCTCCATCTTCAGAAAAGTCAACATATTCTAAACGAAAATATGGGTATGGTGATTTGACTCACCAAACCCAACAATATCCACCTTGATAGCAAAATTACCATAATTGCCTTGGCAGCCTTTATTCTTAATTTTTTTCACTTGCCTACATTGTGGAATTTTCATAAACACTTTGCTTACATATTTCACCACCTCAAACCATCGATCCATCAAACTTTGTCATTCATATTTTCCTTATTGCAAAGCTTAGTCTTGTACACACCTTGTGTTGTGATACCAATTATAAAGTTCTTGGGAACCCTTAGCTTACGGAATCGGGAATCCCAAATACCGGAATCCCACCTAAGATCATATACATGATTGGCTAAACGTGAAGTAGATGAATATAATTATAAATTGAGTACGAAAAATAAATAAAACATAAAAAACACATCACCAAAACATACGATTTATGCGGTTCACACCTTAGGGCTATATCCATGACTTCGGCAAGTATAAATCTACTAGCACAATGAAGATTCCAATTTTGGGTTATAAGAGATAATACCTCTCTATAAACATGGGTAAAAAACCTTTACTGATCTTCCCTTCTAAACCCACTCTCTCAACCAAACAATACCGCTGATTAACATCTTTCCCACTGCTATACCGCTATCGGAAAGAGCCCTTGAGAGCAACTGAAAGACTCTCTCTCCAGAAGTGGAAACTTAACTAACCTAAAATCTCAAAGGAATACCTCATCTTGGAGGTTATGTCTCTCTCTCTTGGAGACACATCCAATTCTTGGAGATCTCTTCCCATAACCCCCAAAAGGTGACCCTCAAAAGGATGGGAAGAAGAAAATGAGTGTGGTGATTTAGCTATCACCAAACCTAACAAACAAAAGGTTTTTTTAGTATTTTTGGTTTTTTTTAAACCAATA